TTTTACACAATCTTGTTAATCTTTATATTTTGAATTAATAAATTTAGTTGGTTTGAAATGGAGTGATTTTAATTGATTAATTTATGCTAAATATATAAATAGAAACTAGATTTAAAAATATAAAGTTTTGGCTACGTTAGCAATTTTGAGCTATTTTCCTAATTTTTGCTATATTTATGATATTATCATATTTTATTCACTCTTCGTGCACCTTTTTAAATTTTATAAAAAAATTATTATAAAATATATATTGGAAAATTATCAGTATTTGCAAAAATTTTTATTCAGCTATTATTTCCATAAATAAATTAAAATTAAATAAAGATTGTGTGTCTATATTATATAATTTGATGATTTATAGTAGATACCTCTATTTATTTTACTTTTATTTAATAAATTCTCATTGACGAAGCGTCAAGTTCACTACTAGGGAAACAATCAAAAAAATTTTTATTTTTATTTTAGTCAAACTCAAACCATAAAAACATTAAGATTTATAAATAGGTGGTATTAGTTTTTGAGTAAAATGATCAAGTACTGAATTATAAAAGTTATCGCTAGCTTTTAAATTTTTTAATAACTTTTTTTCAATCGAAATAAAAGATAGATTCGATAATCGATTTTGGCTCGTCCTGTTTCTGCAATAAGATTTGATTCTTTTTAAAGATGAAAAACTCCGTTCTACACTTGCTGTTATTGATGCCAAAGTTAAGATGAATTTGCATAATTTATAAAACTTTTTAAAACTTTTCATCAAATCGGTGCTTATTAAAAATTCAAGTATTTCATTAATATTCTTTTTCTTTCTAAATTCAATATCCCGAAACACTACCTTTAATTCGATTTCCAGCTTGTGTAAGTCGAAAAATTAAAAATAAGTGTCGTTTAAATTATCTAATAAATATTTTTGGAAATTTTGATTATTTGGAATCGACTAATATCTAACAATTCGATGAATTTAATATTTTTTGGTGTAAGATATATGAAATATTATTAATCAAATCATTTTGAATATCGCTTGATAGTCCAATAAAAACTGCACTATTTCTAAATGATGTTTCAATATTAAATTTTCTGTCGCGAGCAAATAAATTAATTCAATATAATTTCCACTATTTACTGAATTAGAAGATTCATCATCACCACGGAATACGAGCTCCTGAATTCCAAGAAAACATATAGAGTTGATCAATATTTTTATATTTCTCTATTTGAGTTGACTTTAGAATTATGCTGTTCTATTGATATTTTGCACATCTAATCCATCATATTTTCAATACGATTTTGGCCAAATGTTTTTAATTGAATCATCGACTGCAAATGAGCGATTGACTCTTCGTGCCGTTTAACTGCCTTTGAAAAATTATTGATATCCGAAAATCCTTTATCATTCCAAACATATTTTTCCTTTGGGAATAATAGGCATGACCTACAATATAGAGAATTAGAAAATTCACATCCAGTGAGCCATTCATATTTTTCATATTTATCGATAGAAAAATAACGGATGCAAGCGATTTCTTTTTTTAAGTTTTGTAAAATTGGTTTTGGTCTTCCTTTTTCAGTAATCAATTTTTTCGCATCAAAATTCCTTGAGCTAAATGATAATGTTAATAAATTTTCAATAATACAATTACAATTATTAAACATTAATTAAGGATTTTAAAAACGGAAAATTTTTTATTTTAAAAAAGTAAGGAAAAAAATGTTATATAAAAAAATTTCTTTCTCTTTTCTTTATTAAATAAATAAGCATTTTTTATTTGCTTCCCCAATGCTTATTTTTTTAATGGTAAAATTATACAATACCATGGCATGATTTTCTCTTTATTTATTTAAAAAATAAGCAATATTAAATTAGCTTCCCACATGTATATTTTTTTAACGTAGTAAAAAATAATAGTAAATTTTCGTAGTAAAAATAATAGTAACTTTTAACGTAATAAAAATAATAGTATTTCTTAATATAGTAAAAATAATATTAATTTTTCAACGTTATAAAAATTACATTAATTTTTTTAACGTTTTTTAACGTTATATAATATATATTAATGTTTTTAACGAAGTCAGTTTAGTTTATTTAGCATAGTTACAAAGGGTACAAAGATTATATTAAGTTTATTTAAAAATTTTGTAAGAAAAATTTCAAGGGATGCAATGCTTCCCTTGCTTCTATGGACGCTTCGTCATTGATAAGAGAAATGCAGCCTTTGAACAAAAAATAATTCCACGGTGACATTTTTCCTGGTTTTAACATATTTGCAAGTAGAGCACTCCAATTCTAAACTGAAGTTAATTTTTATTAACTATTATTATAATTTATTTAATTAAAAATATATGTCAATTGTACTAAATTCTTCAGTTGTTTTAACTATGACCTGTCCACAGTAATTTTTTTATAAAATGACAGATATAAATATGAATGAATCATAGTTTACAAAAAAATGGAAAGTGTAAGTAAGAGAATCAAAATTTTAAAATTGAGTTGTGACTTTTTTTTATTCAAAAAATATATTAAATCTGAAAAAATATTTACAACATTCCCCTTTTCTTTTAAGTAACATAAACGCTTTTACAATCTATTTTGATGGGCCTCAGCATCTTTAATATAAATTGAAGATAAGTTTTTATAACTTAAATAAATATTTGGGCAGATAGAATCCCTGGCGATACAGTCGGTTTTAGCTCTAACAATTTTATTGTTTTTTAAAGTTTCTCTTATAATTTTGAATTTATAAAGATTTAAAAAGGTAATATATTACCCACAAGAGGATGTTTTAAAAATATTAAAGTTGAATTTATGATTAACAATTTTATGAATGCAACTTTTATCAGATTAATATTAATCCTATTATAGATTATGATTTCAGGTCATATTTAAAAAGAGAAACTAGAAAACGAATTTATATTTTAATTAATAAACTACTACTTAAACTCAAAGAATATCAATCAACTAAAACTCGTTAACTACATTATATAAATTTTTGGAGGAGAGGGGGGTAGGGGTATATAGGAGGATGTTCATTAGTAGAGTATATTTACGAAAACAGCCAAATTTCAGAGGTGGAATTCTCTCTCACCAAGCTAATTACGATATTACCCTTCCAAATTAAAATTCGCTGTAAAAAAGAAAATCCAAAATTAGCATAAAAAACAAGATCAAAATTAGCAAAACTATACATCATCTTACCCCTTTCAATTTCAATGATCATCCTGCATCATATTCCCTATCCCAAGACTTTTAGCGACCCAGGAAGAAACTTTAAGCGGCCCTTCATAATACCCTCAATTTACTTAACCTTAAGTAAAATACAAAACAAACTTCATCACTTTTAAAATTGGAATGAATACGCAGCTTTGAATATGAAATATGTATTATTCGTAGTGCTGTAAATATCTAAAAAAAACAAATTCGTTCGTGTTTTGCTGTTCGTTAGCAAAAATATCGAAGACGTTCATTTGCAAAGAAACATGAACGAGGTAAATATTATACTCATAATCTTAGCGCGAATTATAAAAAATATTCTGTATTTTCGGCTGCTAATATGTGCTAATTGTGAACGAGGAGTTGCCCTGCATTCAGAGTTAGCACAAATTCGCGAGGAAGTATATAAAATGTGCTGTATTTTTGTGTATTTATGTATAATTTACCGCAAATTGGCGCTAACTGTAAGGGTAAGAAATAGATTTATAATATTTAATGTTTTTATTTATATATATAAAATAGATTATAATCTATGGTAACAATAAGAATATGATTTAAAATAGTATATTAAAATATTTTAAATATAAAAATTCTAACGGCATTTTGTTACGTTAAAAATAGGTTTGACAAGAGCTGAAAATTGGATTGTCATGTTAAACTTAATGAAAGGATTTTATTTCGGCAAATTTATTTAAAATATTAGATTTTTATCTTTCGTTTGAAAATTTCATGCTAAACAATCCTTGTCTAAATTGTTCAAAAAAACTTCTTTAGAATTGACACTATGTCCGGAAACATCTTCAAATCTAGTTTTCTACCGATTTATATGATACAAGTTTAGTTTTTTTATCATTTTGTTTTATGGGAGCTATCCAAGGCAATATGAAGTCACATTTATAAAATGAAATACCTCAATTTGATTAAGAAGTAGACATTAGTTAATAGGCGTAGTCAGGTTTTGCTAAAGGAGAGGGAGCACCATCAGGTTAATTATTTCCCAAAAATTTTTATTTGAATTTGAAATATTTAAGTCGGCATATTCCCGGCCTTTAGCTTGTTAAATTTTTAAAATAAGTTTAGTTTATCGTTTTTTTTGAATTATAGTCATTATTTAAAAAAATCATATACTTATTTTTCTCTCAAATTATTGTTTGTAATGATATATTGAAATTTTTGTGGGAAGGGGAGGGGATAAGAGGTGTATATAGGCAAAATTTTTATTAATTGAATATATCTACGAGAACTAACAAACAATTTTTTCCTTTTAGCCGAAGCTATAGGGACAAAGGAATAATATCTTTTTTTACTAAGGTTGATAAAAATCAAAAGATTATCTTTATAATAGGCCGAAGACGCTAAAAAAAATAAAATTTAGGGAAAGTCGGACATATTACAATATTTTTACGAGCCAAGCAGGATTAAAATGTTTTTGATGTTGAAAATTTTATTATATAGTAAATAACTTATACCGGGATAAATAGTTTGTACAAAATATATTTACGGGTCGGGGAAGAATAATTACGAGCTGAGCCGGGCAGAAAAACCGATAAAAAATTTCTACAAACCGGACCAATATATACTATTTATATATATTTTTTCAAAATGTATATTATCTATTTTTCCACTTACGCGAGAAAACTTGTTTAAGGAAGATCTAACTAAGGAATTAATTACATATGTATTGATATTTGGAATAATGATGTTCAAAATGCCGAAGACCCTTATTAACTTTTTATCAGATTGACGACGTCATAATAAATTTAAAATTAAAACCGATTTGCAACATTTATTTATTTTACCCCCATTTATTAAATAATTATTCAAAATATAACAAAATATAACAGTTTACATATAAAATAAATATGCTATATAAATACTTATTTGTCGATATTTGACGAGTTTTCGTGATTATGAATAATATACAAGAATAAATTATTAAATAATTTTCTTTTTATAATTTATCTTTCACAACATTGTAAGAAAACATGATATCTTTTAGAAACAATTTAAAGACGTCGAAGGTGCCAAGGTATTTCCTCTTTTGCCGGTATACGTAGGCGTTCAAATAATCTTGCATGTACTGGTCCTTGCTGTGCTTAACAATGTTAGCCTTCAGATGAGCCCAGAAAATTTCTATATTATGGGTATGTAAATTAACTTCGCAATTTCCCCCACTAATAAGCGGAGGGTTCGGCGTACGGCTCACCCTATAAAGGGTGTAATCTATGTCATCTAGGTCTTTATTATCGTTCCAACAATTGGTGATGAGTGTAGTACCTTTAAAATAACATTTTATGAAATACATTATATTTATAATATTGTATATAAAAGAGTTTTGAACAAAGGTGATTCTGGTCAAAATTAGAGCTAGTCAATACCATAACTAGAGGAGGAAGGGGTGCACAGAGGCTCGAGTCCCCTGAATTTTTTTTAGTTAAAAACGGTCTTTTTATTGAAAATGTTCTCTAAAAAAGGAAGGTCATTTTGAAAATAATTTTAAAAATTTTTTTGAGTCTCCTGATATAAGGCTAGTGATGCCCTTGTCAGAGGTCAGTAATGGCTGGGCTAAAAAATTTTAAACATTGGGCGGGTACGCGTTATAAAATATTTTTCGAGCGAAATTAAACCTTATTTATTAAAAATTATTTTTTTATTTCATAATTTTACATTAAAATAAAATAATATATGGAGCCCAACCAGTATATTTTTTAAATATTGGCGAGAGGAAAGAAAATACATGGGTGGGCGGGCAAGCGGGTTAAAAAATTTTTAGAACAATGAGAAAGCGAACGTTTGTTCGCCGAGGGATCAAGACCTGACAGAATAATTACAATTTCTTGGTTAGGTCCTTGGTAAATCTTTTATGAGATTTTCCTCGTGTTTCATTGTTTTCTTCTGACAGCATAAATTTCTTAACCCAAGCCGAAACAAAAATGAATAAAAAAATACAAAGATTTCAATCCCATCAATTTCATATAATAATCACCTACACAAAGAGCCACTTTTTACCTATTCATAAATATTGAAAGACATTTTTTATGGCTTAAATAAATCAAAAAAATTTGTTTGCAGAAATAAAGACTGGTAAAATATATCTTATATTCTTTTATGTTACCAGTATAGGTAAAAAAAAAGCGATATTGGGCCATCTCATGGTAAAAATGATAAATATCTATTAGACATTAAACTGGCCAGTATTTTTGTAAAGTAAATAATAAAATTATTGCCAGTAATATTTTGTAAATTCGTGAAAATAAGTGAGAGGGAAAAAAAATATTTTAGTGATATATTATTTATAATGGTTAATTTAAAAAAATAATACCAACAATTAAGTAATTATACTAAGAGAACTGCACGGGCTGTCCGTAGCGGGCTCGGGTCGGGTTCGGACATCAAAAATAAAATTTCTCGGGTTCGGGCTCGGGTCGGGTTGTAAAAGCTGTCCGACCCGAAAACCCGACCCGACCCGAAAATATATAAATAATATTAATATCTTAAATAGTTAGTATAATTTATAATATTAATTATAAAATCATATTATTTAATATTTATCACATTTTAGGATTAAAATATCAATCATATTAACATGTCATGTCATTATTAATTATTATTTTATAAACCTAACAACCGGATACCAAACTATTTTATTACTAAATTGTGTTTCTCGTAAATTACAAGATAAGACATATTTTATGTAAGTTTTATTTATTATTTATCTAGCCTATACATTGTCTTTTTTAACATTTGTTTTAACCCTTCACTACAAAGGTAGAAAAAACTCCCTTAACTACAAAGGTGGGGTCTATTTTACCCCAAATTTTGATTAGATATATCTCAAAACATATTAAAAATTGAGATCTAAAATTTTGAGTATATATTTAAAAAATATTGGAGATAATAAATACAAAATCTTAGATTAATATTTACTTCCAAAAAAAAGTTAGACAAATTTTCCTAAAATTACTGAAATAAAATTTTCTTTTTCAGTACTTCCTTTAATTATTTTATTATCACTAAATAAAATTCAAAAAATTCAAATTTTATTAAATCAATGTTGAATAATGATAATTACATAAATTTTATAAAAAAATATCATATATCAAAAAAAATATTAATCATCAAATATGTAAAATTTTGAGATAATTTCTGGTTTTAACAATTCACCAGTTGTTACATCAATTTTATTATCATAATGTAGTGTTGAAAGCAACACTACATTCTTATACCTTTTTGGTATATATGAAACTATAGTAGTATTTTCTTTGATCCAAATAAACTTGAATATATATCTCTTTTTTTATTAAAAAATAATGCAGGTAACTGCTTTTTATTTTTTTTAATAGTCCCTACTATTGTTAGGGAATGTGAAGATATTAAATAATTAGCTAATTCATAGATAGTAAACCAATTGTCCATTGTAATATTTCTATTACTTTTTGAAATTGGTTGAATTAGTCTTTCAACTACATCAAATGGCTTGTTTGACAATTTATATGGCCCTTCTGGCTGATTTTGCCAGTATATAATTCTGTTTTTAATGTATAAAAAGTTCTAGAATCAACTAGAGCATATATTTTCAGACCATATTTTGATGGTTTATTTGGCATATATTGCCTAAATGGACATTTTCCTTTGAATGCAGGAAGCATTTCATCAATAGTAACATATTGTCTAACAGAATAGTATTATTGCAATTATCATTAAAAATATCAAAAATTTCTCTAATATGTGTGGCTTTATCAAGTGCTTTCCTTGTATTTCTTGTATTCATATCATCAAATCTAAACACTTTCAATAGAAATTGGAATCTATTTATATTCATAGTATATCTAAATATATCAACACCAAATTTATAATATTTTTTACAAATTTAATAAAATGCAACTTAATATATATCTTGAATAGATTATGGCCGTCAAATAAACTTTTATTTAAGGTGGCTGAACTGAATAAATACACATAAATTTTTTTTTGGTTATTATAATATTAAAACTTAAATTGCAAAATTTTATTCGGGTCGGGCTCGGGTCGGGTTGGATTAAAAAATGTGTGCTCGGGCTCGGGTCGGGCAAAAAAAAATTTTAAATTCGGGCTCGGGTCGGGCTCGGGTTGCGAAAAAATTACTTTGCAGTTCTCTAATTATACTTAATGAATTAACAAAAAAATAGATATTGACCATTCTAATAAGAATTTGAAAAAAAAATGTATAAAATTTATTTGCTCAAAAATTTTGACTAAAATATTTTTGAAGATCACAAAATTGAAGATTAAAATTAAATTTTCTTTAAAAAAATTTGTTTCATCATTGGTCGGAATTAAATAATAATAATAATGATATGATTTATGTGAAAATATATAATTTTTCGATGATATAATGTTTTCGGCGATTATTAAATTATAGGATAAAATTTGTTGTATTTTTTAAATAAAAAAACATTATTTTTGACTTACTGAAAAATTAATAAATAAAAGGTTTAATAGATTTGAATCGTGTCCTCCTTTATTATAAGGTTTGATTAAAGATCTAAGTGAAAGTAGTAAGCTAGCATAGACGGGAGTAAGATAATCATGAAGATTTTTTATGCAGATAAAATCACCAATGATGTCGTAATTTTTAAAGGGATCATGACTATCCGGGATCTTCACGGGATTTAAAGGGATCCCTTTAAAATTTCAATTTTTAAAGGATAAAGAACTATACGGTATGGTATTATCACGTTTTAATCGTGATAAAGAGGATCTTATTTTAAAAGCGTTTTCCACGAGTTTCGTTTTTTTAATTTTCAATGTTGTTTTTTTGGCCTTATGAGATAAGATATGTCTAGTATAGGGTATCAATCGATAGCTAATCAAAAGATCTATTCAACTGAAGTTCAACTCTGCCCCATAATGGGCGGTCGGGTGGGGGTGGGTGAAAAAAATAATTATTTTGATATGGGTATCAATCGATAGCTAATCAAAAGATCTATTCAACTGTAGGTGAATCTCTGCCCCATAATGGGCAGTCTGGGGGGGGGTGTAAAAATAATTATTTTTGATATGGATATCAATCGATAGCTAATCAAAAGATCTATTCAACTGGTGAATTTCTGCCCCATAATGGGCGGTCTAGGGGGATGGGTTGGGGGGGGGGAGGGGGGTGTGTATAAAAATAATCTTTTTTGATATGGGTATCAATCGATAGCTAATCAAATGATTTATTCAACTGGAAGTCAATGTCTGCCCCATGATAGGTGGTCTAAGGGGTAAAGGTAGGGGGGGGGGTGTAAAAATAATTATTTTTGATATGGGTATCAATCGATAGCTAATCAAAAGATCTATTCAACTGGTCAATCTCTGCCCCATAATGGGCAGTCTAGGGGGATGGGTTGGGGGAGGGGGGGGGGGGGGGTGTAAAAAATAATTTTTTTTGATATGGGTATCAATCGATAGCTAATCAAAAGATCTATTCAACTGGAGGTCAATCTCTACCCCATAATTGGCGGTGTAAGGGGGTGGGGTGGGGGGATGTGTAAAAAATAATTTTTTTTGATATGGGTATCAATCGATAGCTAATCAAATGATTTATTCAACTGGAGGTGAATCTCTGCCCCATAATGGGCGGTCTAGGGGGTGGGAGTGGGAGGGGGGTGTGTATAAAAATAATCTTTTTTGATATGGGTGTCAATCGATATCTAATCAAAAGATCTATTCAACTGGAGGTGAATCTCTGCCCCCTAATGGGCAGTCTAGGGGGTAGGAGTGGGGGGGGGGGGGGTGTAAAAAATAATTTTTTTGATATGGGTATCAATCGATAGCTAATCAAAAGATCTATTCAACTGGAGGTGAATCTCTGCCCCCTAATGGACGGTCTAGGGGGGTAGGGGTATCTATATTTAAATAAATTCGGACCAAGCCGGGCGGGCTTATAATTTTTATATGGGGTTGCGTTTTTCTGGACAAATATATGAAAAAATTGGGGATAGGGCAGAGCCTAACAAATTTTAAAAAAAATGGATCATGCTTAAAATATTAATCCCGAAGCAGATCTCTAATTGATATCATTTATTAAATTTAAATTCGATGAAAAACCCATATGGAAAAATAAATTTCAGACAAACCGAAATAAAATAATCACAATTTGATGGGTTGGGTCGGGTTTAACTAACATCAAATAAACTACAATATGAAAATAAAATAATATTCTAATATTTTTCAACTATGCTAATAATATACTAGTGAATATTTATTTAATCAATCAAATTATTCGAATACAAATAAAAAGTAATTCAATAAAC